ATAAAAACCCTGATCCTAAACCTTTAAATCACAAAGAAATAAAGATTCCAGATCATGGTAGTCTTAAAGGATATAATAGTAAGAGTTATATTACATAATACACATACAAATGTCACCCTTATATCCAAAAATACACCTCTCCTTGATATGTCACCCTTATCCCATTGTACACCTCTCCTTGATATGTCTCCCTTATCCCATGGTACACCTCTCCTTGATATGTCACCCTTATTTCCTCATCAAAACATTTCGTAAAACAATTCCATATTGAACAGACCGCAGTCATATATGTTCCAATGGAATATCATTAGTTCAAAATCATTCTTATCAAAAATTCTCATTTTGTATAAAAATGATAAAAATAACAATTTATACAAACATTACATAAGTCAAAGTGCAAATCCGGTCAACTTAGACCTGGCCGGACTTCATCTCCGGTCAAGCCTTGGACGATTTACCAATTCCGGACAATACTATACCGGTAATCCGGACACTAAATCGCCCACGCTTTGTCCGATTTACCACTAAACCGGTCAACATATGATTTTGGTCGATAAATAAACCGGTCACCTTTTTGGTCGTATTCATACTTCTCCGTTCAAAATACTTGACATGAATTCAAAAGTTCAAGAAACTGACCAACACATAAACCGGCTAACCCATCAATCGGATTACTCTTAAACCGGTTGAGACTATGTCCAGTTTACCTTTAAATCGCTCAATCCCTTATCCTGTTTACATCTAAATCGCTCAACACTTTTGTTCGGTTTACACTTTAACCGGGTGAAAGTACATATAATTCAATTTATGCAATTCATAAAAATACATAAAACGTTTTAACCACTCACCTTAAGCAATACTTTTGAAATCAACTTCTTGTAATTCAAACAATAAGCAATCCGGTCAATCCACTCTCTTCTTTTAAATCGCCCACTTTCTCAAAAATGGCAAGAAGAATGTGAAGGAAGGTTAACCTCCCTTTTATACCTTTCTCCAAAAGAAAATGGCGGTTAAACCGCCTACTCATGCATGCCTTCACATGCATACAAACATATATATTCGCATATATATATACACACACACTCATTCACATATCATGCATATATCCATACATGTACATATACATACCTATGCATGTTTATTATGCATATTTTTCCTATGCATAAAAATTCACATACTCACATAATCAAATATAACAATTTATCATGCTGTCACATAAACATTTAACAAATAATCACATATTAATTACCTCATGTGATAACCGATCCAGTTACCACAGTAGACATATCTCAGAGTGTTGAATTTCTCSATRTTCTTTTTCACTTGTTTCACTCATTTCATCCTCATGAATCTACAGCACACCCCAACTCCCTTCTTCGACATTGATGTCCTAAACTCCATTTATCATCACAGTAGAAAAATACCCTTTTCTCTCTTGTTTTGCAACTCCTCCTCGATCAATCGGCAAACTTCACCCAAGGGTTTTGCATTTGTTGACCCCGAGGGTGTTAGATTTGGCCTTCAATAAGTAGATGGAACGATCCGTACTGGGGGAATTAGAGTCACCGGTGGTACCGTCGGCAATTTAGGAACAGAAGTTCCCAGACAATACGAATTTGTAGGTGCCCTCGGCTTTATTAGTTTTCCAATCTGCTTTTCTCCTAAAGCTTGATTGCTAGATTCATCGCATGATCTAAGTTCTTGGTTCCTAACACACAGACCTCAGCCTCTAAATCAGGTTATCGTCCATTTAAAAAATGAACCAATGTTATTTCATCAGATATTTTGACAAGAGTGAAGCCAAATCGATGAACAGACTTTGGTACTCCAACATCGAACCCTCTTGAATCGAAGCCAACCATTGTTCGTGAAGTGACCTAGCACATGAGGGCGAAATTGCCCAAAGTGACCACCGATTTGGTTGGTTGTCGCGTATGTTCCGACTGTTACGATAGAAGTGCGTCTCCCACTAACACCACCAAAACCGCTTCCAATTTCTCAGTTTCATTCAATTTAAAAGAGAAATACCTCTCAGCACGTATGATCCAACCATCTGGTTGATTATCATCAAAGAGAGGCATATCCAAGTGCCAATTTGAGCCTCCTTTGAATGAGGATCCTGCAGACTTGTCCCCTCCATTTCCCAGATTTCCCATCGTTAAGTACTCTGTGTATGATAAGTTTGGCTCTGACCTAATGACTATCATCTCCTCTCATTGAGGCATGAAGCTGTAAATTCTCAGCAGCCAATTATGAGAATTGTTTGGTGATCAGATCGCCGAGTTGTTGCATTCCAGACAACGTGGTTCCCTTACCACTGTTACACCTTCCTCCAACGTCTCTATCCGTTGGGTTACTGGATCGAGTCTTGGTGGTGCCATCAGCAAGGATCGAGTGCTTTGCTACCACTTTGTTAAGAATCAAGGTACTGAATACAACCAACAGAGAATTGTGAGAAATCAACAACCCAAATTAGAATTACTTAAAGAATAACCATAATAGCATGTTCTCCAGAAAGAACTCTCTATTCTCTCGATGAACCATAACAAAGAACACAACAATTACTTATAGAAGAACCAACGCTTAAGAAAAAGGAAAACCCCAAACTACCCTTTAACAACAGAATTTGACAAAATTGGAAATGCTTTCTATTCATACGCTTTACTAGTCCTTTATCTTGTTATGCTGATTTGCCCCTCCGTTTCGGCTATATGAATTGAAATGAAAGCATAAYACATGGTTGGTTTACAATTTGTCCTTTAGTTTAATTAGGACCTTTCTGTCACACAACACTTTTGTGGCCGCCCTTCACTTTGACCATCATGCCTTTATGCACTGTGTAATGGTTTCCTCGACCTCTCGTCCTTTTAAGGAGTCTAAGTACTTGAAAYTGTCCTTTTGGGGTACCCTTGCTCCCCAATGTTGATTTTAAGCCATCCCCAATCGAGATGAAATTGCACAATAGGTATTCGGTAATAGAGCATCTAGTGCCTTCACCTTCTACTTTCAATGTCGCCCTCAACCCGTACAACCTAGCGTTTACCACTCCCTTTGTCTCTGCTACCAATGCATCATCTTCCCCAAATAGCATACAACGAAAAACACCCACGTGGATGCTAAAAGAATTCTTATCCAAAATTACAACAAATAGAAATGGGCTTAAGATGTGTTCCTAAATTTGGGGAGAAAAAAATGAATTTTTTATTTGTGTTCTCGAGACGAAAGGAAAARGAAGGAAAGGAAAAGAGAATACTTTTCATGTTCTTAAACAAGAAAGAAAGGAAAGGAATAATGTCATTTTTACAAATATACCCTTTAAAAATATATCCTTTAAAAGAAAGGTTAAGTAGTTTTGTATTTTTTTAATCTTCTTTTTAAGAGGTTTTAAATTCGTTCCTTTCCTTTCCTTTTCTTAAATTTCCTCCTACATTTGGGAGGAAACTTATCATTATATTCCTTGTGTTCCCTTTCCTTTCTCTCCTTAAAAAGGTTTCAAGAAAACGAGTTTTTTACTTTAAAAGGGAAAGGGCTTTTTCAGCTAGTGCGCAATAGCGCACTTCCGTTTTCCCTTTACTAGTAGGGGTCCCGTGGTTCCTATGCCGCCGCCTTTCCTGGTCCTTTTCTTTTGCCTATCGGCAGGAAGTGGGCTTGACTTGGTTAGTAGTGCCATTTTCTTTGAGCCTTTGCCTCAATACTCCCCTTTCCCTCCCTTTCCTTTCCTCTCCTTTGTAACAAAGGTTTCAAGAATACAACATTCATGTTGATCCCTTTGTAACATAGGTCCTTGCCCGCATATTC